CGTCCTTTGCCCCATGGCAGCTCCCGGTGGTGTAAATCCGGAGGGGCTCCGGGGAGGGGCTCTCCCCCGCTCCTGCTGCAAAGCCTCCCCAGGGAGGGGCCGGGGGGTCAGGTCCTGCTCTCCGTCGTAAAGCTGAGGTCCCCGCGTCCCCTCTCCGTAGCCTTTCTGGATTTACACCGCCAGGTAAAGCCCCTTTGCACCCCCTCTTCTGGATTTACGCTACCAACTAAAGCCCCTTTGCACCCCATATTCTGGATTTACACTACCAGCTAAACCCCCTTTGCACCCCATATTCTGGATTTACACTACCAGCTAAAGCCCCTTTGCACCCCCTATTCCGGATTTACGCTGCCAGGCAAAGCCCTTTTGCACCCCGGCATCTCTGCCCCAGGGCTGGGCAGCCCGTGCCTGCCGTCCCCATAGTGGTAGCCAGGAGCCCTGCAGCAGTTTGGCCCCCAGGGTGCTATAGGACAGGAGGGGACAGGGGTGGAGAGGGGGTCACGAAGTTCCTTGTCCCCCCAGGCTGTGCCGCTGTGCCCGGGACCCGTCCTGCCAGCACCGAGCACCCACGCCAGCTGGGCTCGGCATCGCACTGCTAAGACGGAGCGGTGCCCGAGCCTGGGCATGTGCTGCTGGACTATGCCATGTCCCCCCCCCGAGCCGGACACCGGGACGCCGGGGTGCCCAGTGCCACCATGGCGCAGGGCTGGGACACGGCGCTGTCGGGGATGACGGTGGGCAGCCGGTCGCAGAGCTCCAGCAGCGAGGCCAGCCTGGCTCCCCGCTGCCTCCTCAGCAAGCAGAGCCGCCTGCTCAACGGGGCTGCCCGGGGCAGCCGCGCCGCCTCCCCCATGGGCCGCGTCATCCTCATCAACACCCCCATCGAAGGTGCGTCGGGCGTCCCCCCAGCCCTCTGCCCACCCGCATGGCCCGGGGGGCCCGGACACCTGGGTTCCCGGGGTCTGGGGGCAGGGAGAGTTGTCTTGGGGCTGGGGACATCCACAGCAAGAGAGACACCACCCCCGCGGTGGCTCACACCCAGCCCCAGTGACACATCCTGTCCCCCATCCCCACAGCCAACAGCAATGAGAGCGACATCATCAACGCCATCACGGTGGAGAAGAGCGTGGACGGCAAGCTGGGCTTCAGCGTCCGCGGCGGCTCTGAGCACGGGCTGGGCATCTTTGTCAGCAAGGTGGAGGAGGGCAGCGCTGCCGGTAAGTGGGACGCAGCAAGGGATGCTGGTGGGGACAGGCACGTGCCAGCAAGACCCTCTCGGGAAGCTCCCAGTGACACGGTGCCACAGCAGCAATGCCACCCTTCATGGTGGCAAGCCACCGTTCGCTCCCTGCCACCTCTGGCCATGGGGTTTTCAGGCTGCCCATGGAGAAGGGCTGTGGACGGGAGTGGGCAGCCCTGTGCTGATGGCTCTGAGATCCATCCCCAAGCCACAGCGAGGTGACAAGCCCCCCATGCCTGCCATGGCCTCGGTGCGATTGCCAGGCATCCCCGCCTCTGTTCCCATGGGGTTCGGACCAGGCTGGGGACACATTTAGGGAGGGAACACCAAACAAGGACATTGGTGCCAGGTCAGGTGCTCAGCCGAGCCATGTGCCCCTCGCAGAGCAGGCCGGGCTGTGTGTTGGTGACAAGATCACGGAGGTGAACAGCGTGAGCCTGGAGAACATCACCATGAGCAGCGCCGTCAAGGTCCTTACCGGCAACAACCGTCTCCGCATGGTGGTCCGGAGGATGGGCCGCGTGCCAGGCATCAAGTTCTCCAAGGAGAAGACGGCATGGTGAGCAGGGTGTCCGTCATGCCAGCACCCCAAAGCCCAGCCTCATGGAGGGCATGGTGAGGGATGCTGGGGAGCAGGGAGGGTCCCAGAGCTGGAGGACCCCCAGGGTGGGGGGCATTGGAGGTCTCTGACAACAGTGGGGAGAGCCCGAGGTGGGGCACAGGATGGGATAGGAAGGTCTGGAGCAGGCAGGGTGGGTGAAAGCCCCATCCTCAACATCCCCCATCCCCATCACCCCTCTGCGGGGTGACACTGATGGCCCCATCCTGCTGGAGGACGAGAGCCAGAACCCCAAGCTCCTCCCCAACACTGTGCCCATGCTCCAGGGTGGACGTGGTGAACAGGCGCCTGGTGGTGGAGAAAAGTGGCTCAACGCCATCGGAGAGCGGCTCCGAGGACGGGCTGCGGCGCATTGTCCACCTCTACACCACCTCCGACGACTACTGCCTGGGCTTCAACATCCGTGGCGGCAGGGAGTTCGGCCTCGGCATCTACGTCTCCAAGTATGGCTGCCCTGGGGGGCACACGGCACCCCAATCCCCGCTGTGCCCACACTGGGGCTCAGCACCCCCTCCCTGGCTGAGCCTCCCGCCCTCATGACTGTGAGCAACCCCACCGTGGGTGCTGGGGCACGGGGGCCACACAGTTGGAGGCGTGGGGCAGGAGCAGGGCTCCGACGAGGGCTTGGCCCCATCCTGCCCCCCCTCTGCCTTCCCTAGTGTGGACCCTGGGGGGCTGGCGGAGCAGAACGGCATTCGGGTGGGAGACCAAGTCCTTGCAGCCAACGGAGTCAAGTTCGAAGACATAAGCCATAGCAAGGCAGTGGAGGTGCTGAAGGGGCAGACCCACATCATGCTAACCATCAAGGTACCTGAACCCAGCCCCGTGGGACCCCTGGGTGAGGTGGGGGGGTCAGTGTGTCCCTGCGCTGGCGCTGCCCCAGCTCGGCCCGGTGCCCATGGGGCTGGCGCGGCCGCCGGCTGGTTGGGTTTCAGGTGGGTGGGAGCAGGGGGGATGCATTATTCATGGCTGGCACCGGATCGGGGTCACCCAGGGCAGCCGCCATACGCTGACCCCCACATCCTCTCCCCCTGTGCCTAGGAGACTGGCCGGTTCCCTGCCTACAAGGAGATGGTGGCCGAGTACTGCTGGCTCAGTCGCTGTAAGGGTGGTGCCACACGGGTACTGGCAGGGACACTGGGCTGGGGCACGGTGGGGCTGGGACCCCCATGCAAGGGGCATCCAGCCCTGGTGGGGAGGGAGAAGGTCCTTGTGCCATGGGGTCCCATGGCCTTGGAGGGGGCATGAAGCTCCCCGTGCCACGGTCAGCATCCCCATGGTCCCCATGGCCTCGCAGGGTCCCACCTGTCCCCCATTCCTCTAGGGGACATGAAGAACCCCATGCTGTGGCCAACAGCCCCACGGTCCCTGTGATCCTGCAGGGTCCCACATGTCCCCATCGTTGTAGGGGACGTGAAGAGCCTTATGCAATGGCCAGCAGCCACCTGGTCCCCACAACCTTGTGGGTCTCCACATGTCACCTGTCCTTGGGGCGGAAGCTGAGCTCTCCGAGGCCCTGTCGTGTGTCACCCCATGTCCCTGCTGTGCCTTTGCAGTGACCAACGGGCAGCTGCAGCAACTGTCTCAGGCCTCAGAGACCAGCTCCTCAGTCTCCTCCTACTCCTCGGGACCAGCACCAGGGGCGGTGAACGGGCTGGGGACGGCCACTCCGGGGCCCCCCACCCGCACCGTGGACGTGGCCATCTCCCCGAGGCCCTGTCGTGTGTCACCCCATGTCCCTGCTGTGCCTTTGCAGTGACCAACGGGCAGCTGCAGCAACTGTCTCAGGCCTCAGAGACCAGCTCCTCAGTCTCCTCCTACTCCTCGGGACCAGCACCAGGGGCGGTGAACGGGCTGGGGACGGCCACTCCGGGGCCCCCCACCCGCACCGTGGACGTGGCCATCTCCACAGAGGACGGGCCACGGCGGGGCTGGGCGCGGGAGCATGCCGAGCGGCGCTGCTGCGGGACACAGCCATCCGGGGCCAGGGTGCTCGCGAGCCCCCTGGCACCCACCCACGCCACACCTTCGCCCACTCGCCCAAGACGGCACTGCTGCTGGCGCTAAGCCGGCCCCGGCAGCCCATCACGCGCTCCCAGAGCGACCTCACTGTTGCTGGTAGGCACCGGGGCATGGCCCCGTGTGTGGGACTCACCCTTAGCTGGGGTCCCCCTCCAAACCTGCACCCCCAGCCCTGGGCATCCCATAGCTCAGCCTCTGCCCCACGTGGAGCCTATAGCCCGTGACCCACACGGATACCTGCCCCTCCACTCCTGGGCATCCTGTAGCCAAGTCCCTGGCCCCCACCCCATGTGGACACCTGGCTACCAGCCCTGGGCATCCTATAGCCCTGCATAGCCCCAGTCCTGTCCTCAGGGCTTGCAGGGCACCCCAAAGCCCAACCCCATACCACTGGAGACCCCCTGCACCCCACAGCAGGTCTCTCTTCCAGTCAGTGTCCCCCAGTAGCCCCCCCACCCCCCCCGGTTCCCAGCCCAGGCCTCTTCCCAGCCCTTTGGGGGCATGGTGTTTGGCACCATTTGGGGCCATCCCCTGGCCCCTCCGCTCTAACCCCCACCTCTCTCCCCAGAGGAGAAGCGGAAGAAGGAGAAGCCGGAGGTACAAGGGGCACGCGGAGCTCCCCCGGGGCTGCACCGCTCCAAGACCCTCGTCAACCTCTTCTTCAAGGGCGGCCGTGCCACCAGCCAGAGCTGGGCCCCACCCAGCCAGGAGCCCCCCGCCTCCGACCACCGGGCACGCGCCAAGTCCCCGGGGCGCCCTGATGGGGACAGAGGTACTGGGCTGGGGGACAGGGTGGAGAGGGACCTGACCTGGGACTGGTCCCACCTTCCGTGGGCACCACGGCCCCATTGTGGCATCCTTGGCATGGGGGGGGCATGGGGAGGGCGGCCCCAGGCATGCAATTTTGGCGATGGGCAGCAATAGCACTGGCCCCCCGAGGCGCTCACCCCCTCTCCCATCTCCCTTGCAGTAGGCGCTGTGCAGAAGTTTGTCATCCGGAGCCTGAAGCGGGGTAACGGGGGTACCCGTGTGCCCGGGGGGGGTTGCGGGGCAGGCTCTGCATGCGCCTGGCCCCGTGCTGCGTCTGTGTGTCTGACTGGTTTGGATTAAGCTGGTGGGGTGTGTGGGGGGGTTGTGGGGTGCCCAGGTGGTCCCTGCCCCGCTGGCCACCCCTCCTTGCTGTGCCTCCCCAGAGAAAAGCCGGCGTGCCAGCATCCTGGGCCCCACAGGCATCGCCACTCTGCAGCCCAACGGCAGCGACCCCGAGGCCCGGCTCCCGCACATCCAGGACACTGCCGCACGCCTCCTCAGCCCCGACGAGGTGACGGCCGTGCTCCGCCACTGCTCCCGGGTACGGTGCTGCGGGCAGGGTGCGGGCAGGGTGCAGGCAGGGCATGGGCAGGGCAGCACCAGCAGCTCCTGCATCCTGGGGGGGCACTGCAACCGGAGCTACGTGCCCACGTTAAGCTCTGGGAGGTAAACTGAGGCACGGCAGGGAGCACCCATCCGCTGACACCCCTCCTGCTCCCACAGTACCTGCACGAGGGCAGCGTGGAGGATTTGGTGCAGCCGCTGCTGGCCATCCTGGACCGGCCCGAGAAGGTCCTGCTGCTGCGGGATGTGAGGTGGGTGGTGCCAGAGGGTACCCCAGGGTACCCCAATACCCCCCAGCCGGGTGGGACAGACCCAGAGCCCCACATGCGCTCTTTGGCCCCAGTCACACTCCATCCCGGAGGTGGCCACAACCTGTCCCCCCTCCTTTGCCCTGGCAGGAGTGTGGTGGCCCCCACGGACCTGGGCCGGTTTGACAGTATGGTGATGCCCCTGGAGCTGGAAGCTTTCGATGCCCTGAAGAGCCGCTCAGGTAGAGCCTGGCACCTCAGGGACCTTGGCCAGTGGGGGGCCAGTGGGCAGGGGTGGGCACAGCCGGGGGGGGTGACTGGTGGCTCTCCCTGCCCACAGTGCGCTCACCTGCCCTCCGCCCAGCCCACCATGACATCCCCCCCAA